AAGGGGTCATTTTCCACAATAACCACTATTTGCTACTATTTTACACGCTATACTTGCCATGAATTGACTATGAGTTGCATTTTTATAAAATCCATTCAAATGTTCACTGATTACTGAAGTAATATTATTTGTATAAATATACACAATAATAGTGATACTAATTATATAATATTTTATACATAATAGTCTCGTAATGTGTTTCAACATACCGTCAACAGTCATGAGTTTCTCGGCGAACACCGTTTGGAAGGTTCCCTCAACACTGATCTCACACTTGTAGTTACCACTTGTCATACCATTTGCTTCTGTTAGGAATACCGTTCCTCCTTCTGATTTATAAAACTATACATACAATCATAGAATTTCAGTAATTTTAATGAAATACAAATGTTACTTAATATATTTCCTAATTAATTAAATTTTATATAAAACTAAATGAAAACTATGAAAACTGGTGACGAGAACTCACGTCAACGTTAATGCCTTCCAATGGAAAGACTTGTTTAACGGGTTTTCCTCGAGGGGTATACCGAAAGAACTCCCGTTCCTCAGGATTCTTATGATTCCTATAAAACCATTTCAACGAATATAACGACGCGTTTCCCAAGTCATACAAACACGACAACTGCACTTCACTGCCCTCCTTGACCCGCGCCGGTACGTTGAGGGACACCAGTCTTATGCACGTTATGTCTGCAAACATACAAACAGACAAACATTTTATAATTAAATAACTTATACAATAATATTAAATGTATTTAACCCGGATAAGTAAGTGTCAGAATGTATGCCAAGAATAGCGCACTAACTGTTAAACTTTTTGTCCACATTTTGTATGATTTGTTTGAATGAAATTAATGGCAAATTGAATGATTGAGACAATGATTGAATGAATGAATGCATCGATTTGTGTGTCGTTTACTCAATGAAAGGAAACTTTTCTTATCTCTGATCTCCCCTTCCTATCGGGACTCTTGATATAAGCTTAACATTGAATGCAAGCCTTTATTATGCAATTAATTATTCAATTTTATTATGTAATCATTTATTCAATGTTTATTTAATAATATCAATAAATTATTTTGAATAAAAAGATAATACTATTTAAAACATAATATAAAATAAAGAGATTTGAATGTAAAGTATATCTAATTTTCTTAATGAATGAATGAATGGATGACTGAATGTGTGATTGAAATGAATGGCAGAGAAGTAGTGGTCGTATGTGTTGTTCAATACGTTTATGTAATTATT